ACGCGCTCCTTTGGAAACTGCGACAGAGGGGATCCTCTGGAAAGCACCAGACAGGGGTTCTATTGAAGTGGAAAGCGCCACTACGGGGCTCCTACTGGGGAGCCGCGCAAACAGGAACCCATCGGAAAACACAACACAGTGATTCCACGGGAAAGCCTCACGCCAGAAAGCCCTTTCGAAAGGACACTGAGGGCTCCTATTGGAAGCCGTTCAAAAAGGAAATCCATCGGAAAATACAACAGAGGGATTCAACTCGGAAGCCGCACAACATGAATCCTTTGGAGGATAGCGCCGCAGAGGGATTCTATAGGAAAACCTCACGACAGGACTACTTTGGAAACAACCACACGGCGATTTTATTGAAAATCCTCGCAACGAGGATCTTGTGGAAAGCGCATGAACGGGATTCTACGGGAACTCCTCGCAGTGAAAATCTGTTGGGACGCGCCGCAAAGGGTTCTAGTGGGAAACCTTACAACAGTAACCTTTTGGTAAGCACCACAAGGAGGTTCTAGTCGGAAGCAGCCAAACAAGAATTCTTTGGAAAGCACCACAAAGAGATTAGATGGGAAAGCCTCGCAATCGGAATCCATTGACGCACAGATTCTGTTGGAAAGCCTCGCGACAGGAGTCCTTTGGAAAGCACCACAGCGGTATTCTATTGGAATCCGTCACAGTGGGAATCCTTTTTCGAAACACCACAAAGGAGACTCGATTGGAAATCCTCACAACAGAAATCCTTTGAAAAGCGCTACAAAGGGAACTCGATTGGAACGCCTATCAACAGATGCGATGGGACATCCGCACAATATGGATGCCATTGGAAAGCACCACAACTGATTTTTCTCCCCCCAAAAAAAGAGGACAGAGAGAAACATGTAGCAGGACGAGGAGGAAGCAAGGAGAAGGAGGAGGAGGAGAAGGAGGAAGAGGAGGGAGGGTAGGACGAGGGGTTAGAGTAGGAAAAGGAGAAAAAGGGGGCGACCCCCCCTCCAAAAGAAGAAAGGAAGCATGCGAGAACCGTGGGAAAACCATACGAAAACACCATCCGACAGGCGAGGTCAGCCACAATCCCCCGTTCTCGAGGAGGAGGAGGAGGAGAAGGACGAGGAGAACTTTTTGCTCCTCCCGCCCGAGGTCGACAAGCTCAGGGCGCGGGTGCAAAAGGTCGTGGACCGCTGCTCGCAGGCCAGCGCCGGCAGGCGAAGCAGCCGTGGCCGCAAGGCCAGGGAAGGGAACGTGTCGCCCTGAGAGCAGCTGTCCTGATCCTCGACCCTCGGGGGTCGAGGATCTCTGGGCCTCGGGTCGATCCTAGGAGATCCTCGATCCTCGGGGATCGAGGATCCTCGGTCCTAGGAGATCCTCGATCTTCGGTCGATCTCTTGATGCCCAGAGATCCTGTCCTAGGAGATCGAGGATGTCTGGGCCTCCCAAGTGCGGTCGGAGGTGATGGGCCAGAGGATGCATCGCCGATGCATCGGGGGAGGCGGCTGGATGTGGAACCCGATTTCTGCACCCCGATGTCGCGGATGTATCGCTGACGTTGCCGACGCATCGGCGATGCGGCGCGATCCTCCGACCCTAGGCTCGAGGTCTCTGGACTTTTCGGTCTGGGTTGGGGCCCCAGATGCGTCTGGGGACTTCAGGGACGTGCACGGCCCCGGGAGGAAAGCTGACCTGACAGGGGGCCGTATTGAATTGGGCGTTGGCGAAAAAAATCGGCCGGCCTCCACCATACTGGCGATGCTCTGGTCGGCGTCGTGGGTGATTGCGGCAGATTTGGTGATTTGTCATCGAGAATAACAGAACCCGAACCTTAATGATACAATGAAGGCGTCGCCTAACTTAGGTCCCCGTGCTTGCACTAGGGATAATTCGCCGGCCCGACGGGATAGAGGCGTGCTAAGATGTCCGGTAACAGCTGAATTGTCCATCTAGTTCGCGTGCGCGCGGCGGCTCCTGGGGGTTCCCGGATGAAAGTACCCCTGGCGCAGCCCGGCCACCCTTCAGGCAGAGATGGTTTTGCTCCTGGGCGCGGCCTTCCAGGTCCAGGCCCCTCAGAGCTTTCCAAGAGCGCCCCAAGGGACCTCCAAGAGACGGTCCAAGGGCGCTCCAAGGCACCCCAGAGAATCTCTGGATGGCCCGGAACGCCTCCGAAACGCGTCAAAAGAGCCCCAAGAGAGCCCCCAGGAAGGGCTGTGGGGCCAACATCATTGATTTCCCTTGGGTTTTCAGTGATTTGCGCGATCTCCGCCCCAAGAAGGCTCAAGAGGCCCCGCAGAGGGCCCCACCATATTAATCCGCTCTGTCATTCGGAGCCCGTTCCCTCGAAGCTGGCCCTTGACTCGACACCCCCAGCAAGCTCCCAAGGAGTCCCCAAGAAGCCCCAGAGGCTCCCAAGGGGCTTCCCAGAGGCCCCAGAGGCTCCCAACAACCCCTAGAGGACCCGAGAGGCCCCCCAAAGACACCAAAATGCCGCCCTGAGGTCCCCCTGCGGCTTCGCACTGCAGACGAACACTCAGCCAATCGACAGCGGTGAGACAATATGGGCTGGCGGAATGAGCGAAGCGATCCGCCGCCCGACCCGGTACGGCGTGTGAGATCCACCGCACGGTCTTCAAGAACGCTTCCTGTAAGTCTTCCCTCACCAGCGCGCTGTTCATACCTGCCTCTGCCTCTGAGCCCTCACAACCCCTCCGAGGGTCCTCCCCGCGGCCCGCTCATTCCGCCGGCCCGAGGGGCGGGGCTGCGGCCAGGGCGCCCTCTGGCCACCACTTCCGTCCCAAAACGGCTCCCTTTTTCATCGGCCACGCACAGAGTGGGGTGGGGGGAGGCGGGAGGGCTTCTTAGAAGCACCCCTGCTTCTTAGAAGGCGCGGGCCTGATCGACAGATGCAAGCCCGGCGCCTTCTAAGAAGTAGCCTCCTTCTAAGAAACCCTCACCCCTCCTTCCACCCACTTCTGCGCGCCGCCAAGGAAGCGCCAGCAGGAGGGGGAGGTGGAGGAGAAGGAGGAGGAGGAGGAGGAGGAGGACTAGGAGGAGGGGGGAGAAGGAGGAGGAGGCCGCTTTGCTCGGCAACTTCACGTGCTCGGCTTGCGGGCGCCACCGGGCCCCTCCAGCGACCTGTCCGGGAGCCTGCTGGGCCGGTTTGGGGGGGCCTCTCGGGGCTCTTCTCGGGCAGATCTTGACCGCCTTTAGGGGGGCCTAATTGCTGGGCCGGTTTTGGGGGCCTCTCGGTTTTTTTTTCAGGCCGATCTTGACCGCCCTTCGGGCCACCAATGACCGTCCCGGATGCCTCTCCACATCTCTTCGAGTCTCATGCGCCAGAAACCTCACACAATCCCCGATCGAGCACTAGGCCCGGCCCATGCGCCAGAAACCCCCAACAAGCAAAACACATCGTGAAACACGTCGGATGCTGACGATTCTGTCCTTATCGGGCTGTTCCTGGCGCCTCTCTTCGAGCTCCCGTCTATCTCGGCGGGCTCTTGCGGCCATCCTGGAACATGCAGATGATCTCTGCGGCCGTCCTGACAGCCTCTCGGCGCCCTCGTCGGCCGTCTGGATGCCTTTTTGGTGCCGCCCTGGGCGGTCTTGGGTGCGCCCGTAGTTTTCGACACCCAGGGCCCCCTTCAGCCCCATTCGGAGCCTCGCGCGGCCTTCTCGGGCCGTCTTTTCGAACATGTTGGACCCTATGGCGCCGTCTTGGCCCCCCCCCATCCCGCAAAATCCACGATCTAAAAAAGGTGGGGCGGTTGTGTCTCCCCCTTGAGGGGCGTTCAATGTAATAAGTCTGGGCGACTTGGCCCGATGCGTACGGGGTTGGGTCAAGGATCTCTGCAATATCAAAAAGTTTGCACAGAGCAGACCCCCTGTCCCTAGTCTTTTGGGCCTCCCAACTGAGGTCCGCTCCCAAAGGGTTAGGGGCCTCCTCCTCCTCTTCCTCCTCCTCCTCCTCCTCCTCCTCCTCCTCCTCCTCCCCCTCCTCCTCCTCCTCCTCCTCCTCCTCCTCCTCCTCCTCCTCCTCCTGGCGCATCCTTGGCGGCGCGCAAAGGGGGGTGGAGGGAGGGAGGGAGGAGGGCTTCTTAGATGGAGGCTGCTTCTTAGAAGTCGTCGGCCCGCTTTGGGGCCCCCGATGCCCTCCTGGTCCCCGCCTTCGCCTCCCCTGCCTCCGCCGACGTCGAGAACAGATCACACCCCCGCGACTGGCGTTCAGCGGGGGCCCCCCCGGCCGGCGCGGGGACCACGCCGTGATGGTGGGTCGGTGGGGCTCCGGGGTCGCCGCAGGTCGCTGTCAAGCAGCGGCGAAGCGTCCTGGCTCGCCTATAGCCCCACCGAACAATGTTCTAAGAACCTTTTTTGGTTTCCACGACATGTTCTTAGAACATTTCTGGCGGAGTCTGTCTTGTTTCATACATCGGGGTCATGTTTTAAGAACCTTGTTTTTGCCCTTCGAACATTTTGGGGTTCTAAGAACATGTCGTGGTATGACTATAGGGATGCCGGGACGGTCGGTCCCTGCTCAGCTTTGGAACGCGGGCCGATCTCCGCGGGTGGCCCCGGGCGGCCGGGGCCTCCCGGGTCCCGGGTCGTGCGGTGAGGCCCTTTTTTGGGGGGGGTCCGAGGCCAGCGCGCGGTCCGTCACCGCACGGCCTCTGGGGCTCCGGGGTCCCCAGCTCTCCGACGATGTGATCTGTTGTTTCCATCCGGGCGTTCTTCCTGGAAGACGGCCTCCGGGGCCCGTTCTCGGGCCCTGGGGCCATCAAGGATGGATTCATGCTTATATGAAAGGGAAGAGGGGGGAGCTCAAGAGGGAGAGGGCTCGCGGCTTCTGGAGACAGGAGCAGCCAGTGCTTTTTTTATGCTGGCCCTTTGGGTTCCACGAGGACTCCAAGGGGTTCCCAAGAGGGCTCTGGCTTCAGGAAGGCCCAGGAAGCCCCGACGAGATTCAAGGTCCCAGTGGCGCAGTCCGCATGCGGTTCCTCCCAGTACAGCGCTTCGTGGCCCCAGAGGGAGCTCAACCGAAGGTCCCAGGTAGCGCAGTTCGCATGCGGTTCCCCCACCCAGGACAGCGTTTCGTGGCCCCAGAAGGGAGCTCCACCGAAGGTCCCAGTGGCGCAGTTCGCATGCGGTTCCTGCGCACAGTGCAGCGTTTCGTGGCCCCAGAGGGAGCTCCACCGAAGGTCCCAGTGGCGCAGTCCGCATGCGGTTCCTGCGCCCAGTGCAGCGTTTCGTGGCCCCAGAGGGAGCTCCACCGAAGGTCCCAGTGACGCAGTCCGCTTGCTCTTCCTGCGCCCAGTACAGCGTGTCGTGGCCCTGGAGGGAGCTCCACCGAAAGTCCCAGTGACGCTGTCCGCATGCGGCCCCTGCGCCCAGTACAGCGTTTCGTGGCCCCAGAGGGAGCTCCACCGAAGGTCCCAGGTGGCGCAGTCCGCACGTGGTTCCCCCACCCAGTACGCCGTTTCGTGGCCCATAGGGAGCTCCACCCAAGACGATACCCACAACTGCAGTACTCACAACTACGTATGGTTGGGTTCTTCGCCAGGCTAACTTTCTGAGGGAATGAAGCGATTCTTGCCTGTTGGGACCTTCTCGACGGCCTTCTGGAGGCACTCTTGGGCAGTCTTGGGGGCCTCGTAGGCCGTCTTCAAGCATCTTGGACTGTCGCGAGGTTACCCTGGGACGTCTCGACGCTCTCTTGGATTGTTTCGGCGCTCGTTGAGTCGTCTTGGGGCTCTTCGGAGGCTCCGGAGAGCCCCTGGGGTTGACGAGCTCGTCCCCTCCCCTCCCCCCGCCGCCCTCCCCTCTGTTGCGATTTTTGGCCCCAGGGGCGGAGAAGTGGCAGGGAGGCAGTCAATCATCTCACGCGCCTTCTCACCCCGGGCTGGCGGGGGTCGGCGGACTCGGTGCGGGCCCTGGTGGCTTCTGGAGGGTGGCGGTGACGGCGTCTCAGGATACCCCCCGCGCGCTTCGTGGGCATTCCGACTCCACATCTACTTCCGTTACAGTACGTATCGCGGGTCTCAGCGCTCACGCAGTTGATGGCGTTTTGGCATCCCCAGCCCGCTCGATGTGCAGCAGTAACACGCAGAGAGTGCATCCCTGACATACCACATGGCCCCCATCACACCGTATACATTGTTGTCGGCATTGCCTGCGCGCTGTCTTCACGCGGCGCGTGTTGACCCCACCAGTACATATGTGACGCCACATTCTGCATTTTAGAGCACAGCTCTCACGTTTTTGATGCCTACTGCATGTCGGCGTGTGGGTACATGTCAGGGTTAGGAGGGCCCCTAGAACATGTGTGCGTGAATTTCTGCAGTCGCAATTGCTTGTTTGCCGTCATCATGCCACATGGTGTTTCACAGCACAGTGGGACATCTCAACTTGCAAATGAATTGTAGTTTTGGAAGCTGTTGTTTGGGTGACTACAAACGGGCACTACTAATACTATGTAGCGTTTTAGTACATCAGCCAGGCATAGTCGGTGGTGGGACCTTGCAAGTCGTGGCGTATGAAAAGAATTAGCGGGGACGCTAATATCGCCACGACCCCTTGTAAGTTCAACGCGTAACCTTGCAGTACCAAGTGCTCGCCAAGGGACAGTGATTTCTCAGCAACGGCATGGTTCTCAGGGCGATAGGTTCTTGGACCTGGGTAGGGCTCCGGGCTGGGCTCGGCCACGTTCTGACTTGGCTCGTCCAGCTTTTGCGGCGCGTAGTTTTCAGAACTCTTCCTCATCCCGTCTCCCCTCCTCTCGCTTCCCCCCCTGCCCCGAACCATCTTCGCCTGCCGTCTTTCATTTTGCCTCTGCTGCTAGTTTCTTTATCCCGCGGGCCATCCGGCAAGGGGGACTCCAGTGGGTGTGGCTTTCTTACTATTGCACGGTCCTTTCGGTAATGAAGGACGGCGATAGTTCAATGGCGCCGGTGCTTGCCGAATCCGTATGCAGCGCGCGTTTCTACATAGGAGTGCCCAAAGATTTGGCAAAGCGCACTTGAATATGCAATTCGTGATAGTTGTAACACCACTTTTTCTCACCACCCTTGTCTCACATCAAGCAACCTTGCGCTCATGGCTGTAACACGAGTCCGCTGGTGCATGTGCAGTACCACAGCGCTGCACGGAGGTGGCGATCGAGTCCAATAGAGATGCGCACGCTAACCTACCGTCGCACCGCCGTGCATTCCGTGCTGAGCCAAATCAGCTCAACTTGCATAGTGTTCCATCGCTTCTATGCTGCATGCAGAAACAGCCATTCGGCACACGTGCGCATGGCTTTATTACCCTTTCAGGTGCTTGTGTAAGCGCACTTGAGCAAGGATATGTTATCATGCAAGTGTGTGGGCTGTCACCAGATGTCCCAGCAGCGGGACATGTTTCGGGTGCTTCCGAGTTCCCAGGGTGTCGCATAAGGGGGATGCCCACCCAGCATGTGCCAGACCTCGGCGCGGACTCTTCTCCCCAGAAAGGGCAGCGGCCCAGGGTTCTCTTTTAGTGGTATTCCATTGTCCCTGGTGCCATGCTGGGGGTGGGAAATTTCCCAAATCAGAGCTCGCCTCTGTAGGGGTCCTAGCGGATTCATATGGTTAGGTGAGGTGGCCGCCGATTTCGGTGGCCGGCCGGGTGCCCGGGGGTGCCCACAGGTGCCCGGGGGTGCCCGGAGGTGCCCGGGGGTGCCCGGGTGCCTTGGTGCCTGGGTGTTCTAAAGCCCTATAGCCCTGTAGCCCTATATCCCTATAGCCCTAACGCCATACAGCCCTATAGCCCTATAGCCCCAAAGCCCTATAGACCTATAGACCTACAGCCCTATAGCCCTATAGCCCTATAGCCCTATAGCCCTATAGCCCTGTAGCCCGATAGCCCTTTCGCCCTATAGCCCTCAAGCCCTATAGCTCAATAGACCTATAGCCCAATAGCCCAATTGCTCGATAACCCACATGGCCCTATGGCCCTATAGCACTATAGCCCTATAGCCCTACAGCCCTATAGCCCTATATCCTTTTAGCCCTATAGCCAAATAGTCCTGTAGCCAAAAACAAAGTATGACATTGTGTTTCGTTTTTTCCCTCGGGTATCATTTTCTTTGATAGATATCGAGGAAAGAATGGGCGGATCTTTTTCCCAGAAATGCCTGGAGCCCAGGGTTCTCTTTTTAGTTGCCCCCCCGGAATCGACGGGAAGCGGGCGGGCGGAATTATTTGCGATAACTAACGAGGTGGGAAGAGGGCCGGCGGAATTATGTTTGAGTATGTCCCGAGCGAAACGCTTGTTTTACAGAATTTGTTGAGGATATCTCGAGCGAAACGCTTCTTTTGTGTTATATACCTTTCCTGGGGACCAGAATTCAGAGGATGTCTCTGGTGAAATGCTTGTTGTACGTATGTTCTGTTTTGGGGTGTGTATTCGGTGAGCGTTTTTCGCTTCCCCCCGCCCCCCAGGACGCCCCAAGAGGCTCGAGAAGCGTGACAACATATGGTTCCTAACGCTCCAGGGCGGGACAAGAGTGAAAACGCATGGGTTCCTAACGCCCCAGGGCGGGATAAGCGTGAAAGCACATGGGTTCCTAACGCCCCAGGGCAGGACAAGCGTGAAAACACATAGGTTCCTAACGCCCCAGGGCGGGAGAAGCGTGAAAACACATGTGTTCCTGACGCCCCAGAGAGGGACAAGTGTGAAAACATATGGGTTCCTAACGCCCCCGGGCGGGAGAAATGCAAAAATGCATTGGTGCCTAACGCCGCAAGAGCCCCAGGAGGCTCTAGGATGCTTCAGGAAGCCCCGGGAGGCATTGTTCTGTATTGGGAAGGGTGTTCGGCCTCTGCCCCCTGGAGGCCCCAGGAGGCATTTTCCTGTATTGGGATGTGCTCGGGGAGCGCTTCTCGGTTCCCCAGCAGCACACAGCACAGCCCTCGGCACGGTACATCAAGATCGATACGCTCAGTATTGCAACCTGGCACGTTCCCTGGCACGTTCCGTGGCGCGTCCCGTGGCGAGTCACCCTGGCACGTCGCGCGGCGCGTCCCCTGGCACGTCCCGCGGTGCGGCCCATGGCACGTTCCCTGGCACGTCCCCTGGCGCGTCCCTTGAGACGTTCCGAGGCGTGTCCTCTTGGCATGTCTCACTGTCTATTAGCTCTGGGGCCGCTATCATGTGCTCAGGCAGCTCGAGCTTACGATCCAGATCAGTTCGGGCAGGACTCGGATACAATGGAGGACTCGATCCATAACGCTATAGAGCACAATCGCGGCATGGCACATTGCAATTCAGTACAGCGCAGCCAAGCACAGCCCTCGGCACGGTGTATCAAGATCGATACACTCAGCATTGCATTTGCCCGTCGTCCAAACCTTACATTTCTATACTCCTTTCCGGGTTCGTGGGTCGATCATGTTTCTGAGGATGTCCTGAGCGAAACGCTTTTTACATTATCTGTAAGGGCGTCGCCCCATGCCGCCGGCCCCCTGTCTCGGATAATGGGGGATGCAAATCTAAATCATGAGGTCTGGGCGCCGCCGTGAAGAAGTGTCGGGACCTGTTTGTTTTTTGACCCTGACACTACGGATCTGCGTGAGCGGTGCCGCCGAATTTCAGAAATGTAGCAAATCCCTTGTGTTTTTGGACCCTGACCCTACGAATCCGCGTGAGGGGTGCCATCGAATTTGAAAAATGTGGCAATCTCCAATGTTTTTGGACCCTGACCCTGCCGATCTGCGTGAGGGGTGCCGCCGAATTTAACAAATGTAGCAAATCCCTTGTGTTTTTGGGCCCTGACTTTGCCGATCTGCGTGAGGGGTGCCACCGAATGTCAGACATGTAGCAAATCCTTAGTGTTTTTGGACCCTGACCCCGCCGATCTGCGTGAGGGGTGCCACCGAATTTGAAACATGTGGCAAATCCCTTGTGTTTTTGGACCCTGACCCCGCTGATTTGTGTGAGGGGTGCAACCGAATGTCAGAAATGTTGCAAATCCTTTGTGTTTTTGGACCCTGACCCCGCTGATTTGTTTGAGGGGTGCAACCGAATGTCAGAAATGTTGCAAATCCTTTGTGTTTTTGGGCCCTGACCCCGCCGATCTGCGTGAGGGGTGCCACCGAATGTCAGAAATGTAACAAATCCTTAGTGTTTTTTGGACCCTGACCCCGCCGATCTGCGTGAGGGATGCCACCGAATTTGAGAAATGTGGCAAATCCATTGTGTTATTGGACCCTGACCCCGCCGATCTGCGTGAGGGGTGTCAATTTTTACACACCCCAGCAATTCAGAGCATACGCTCAGGTCGTGGTAAAAATCTAGTTTTGGGCCTCCCCCCTTCGCGCGGTCCATCAACAAGGAACAGTAAGCAGCAAGAAGCAGAACTGTAACAGTGGAAACTGGAAGCTGCAACTGGTACAGGAAACTGCGAACCTGAGGCCTACAGCCTGGTGGCCCCACAAGGGGGCCGGCGGATTTGTTCAGGATATCTCGTGTGACACGCTCGTTTTGCAGAGTTGGGGAAGGCTCCAGCGAAACGCTTGTTTTCTCGGGTCCAGGTCGCCCAGGCAGATGTCTAACATGAGGATTTGTTGAGGATGTCTCCAACCAGACGCTTTTTTTCACGTGCCCAGGTCGCCCAGGCGGATGTCTAACATGAAGGTGTTTTGGGGAATTCTCGAGCGAGACGCTTGTTTTCATGTGTCCAGGTCGCCCAGGCGGATGTCTAACACGAGGATGTGTAGAGGATGTCTCGAGAGAGACGCTTGATTTCACGTGGTCATGTCGTCCAGGCGGATGTCCAGCATGAGGATCTGTTGAGAATCTTTCGAACGAAACGATTGTTTTCACGTATCCAGGTCGCCCAGGCGGAAGTCTAACATGAACATGTGTTGAGAATGTATCGAGCGAAGCGCTTGTTTTCACGTGTCCAAGTCTCCCAGGCGGATGTCTAACATGAGGATGTGTAGAGGATGTTTCTGGCAAAGCGCTTGTTTTCACGTGCCCGGGTCGTCCAGGCGGATGTCTAACATGAGGATGGATTCAGGATGTCTCGAGCGAACCCGTTAATTTTCATGTGGCCGGGTCGCGCAGGCCCATGTCTAACATGAGGATGTGTTGAGACTGTCTCGAGCGAGACGCTTGTTTTCACGGGTCCAGGTCGCCCAGGCGGATGTCTAGCATGAGGATTGGGGCTGGATTTCTCGAGCGAGACGCTTGCTTTCACGTGCCCAGGTCGCCCAGGCAGATGTCTAACGTGAGGATTTGCTGAGGATGTCTCGAGTGAGACGCTTGTTTTCACTTGCCCAGGGCCCCCATGCGGACGTCTAACTAGTCAGGAAACGCTTGTCGCAGTAACATGCGTCGCAGCCCAACCCCGCTCGCCCGTGGGGCGTGCCCTGGCGCGCTGGCGCGTCCCCTGGCGCGTAACCTGCAGCGTTCTGGCGCGAATTGCCCTGGCACGTCCCCTGGCACGCCCCTCGGCGTGGCGCATTCCCTGGCTTGTCCCCTGTCGCATTTCCTGGCTCGGCCTCCGGCGTTTCCCTGCCCGTTGCTTGGCGCGGCAGGCCCCTGACACGTCCAGGGGACGTCCCCCACACTTCCCCTGAGTCGTCCCCTGGCGCATCCCCTATTGCGCCCCTGGCAAATCCTGTGGCGCGCCGGTGAGCCTGTGCCCCGTGTCGTGTCGTCCCTTTTCGAAGCTGAGTCGGATTTTGAGCTCGAGTTGAATGATCGCCCCGCACGTTTCGACTTCAACTAGCCCTGGGCCAGCTACTATGTGCTCAGACAGCTTGAGCTAAGATCCAGATCAGTTCGGCCAGGACTCGGATTTTCAGGAGGACTCGATCCACAAAGCTATAGAGCACGATCGCGGCATGGCACAGTGCAATTCAGCACGGCACAGCACAGCACAGCCCCTGGCAAGGTACATCAACGTCGATACATTCAGCATTGAAATTGCTTGTCGCCCAACCAGGCGTCTTGGAAACGTTGCCGTGCAGCGCAGTTCTGGGCCAATCATGTTTTTCAGAGTACATGGCTTGTCGTCGGGAATTCTGGAGTGGCCACGAGATCTCTTGTCCATGACGGACGGACTCCAGGAAGGCTCGTCCGGCCATCAAATGTGAGAAGTTAGAGCGTTGTATGTTTGTCAATGTATTGCCCAGCTGTCATCTCCAGAGGCGTGTCTAGTGCGACTGACTGCCCACAAACTGCATGTTCGGTTTTGCGCATGGGTGTCGTGCACGAGTTCAGTCCGTTGTCGCGCATGAGTGTTGCACATACATATGGTCTGTCATTGCCTGCTAGCGCGTTGACTTCAATGCTGTATCGCATGCTTCCTTGATTGCATGGTCGCTTCTGTGTTTCACTCCCTGCTTTGTGCATCCTTATACACGCTGCGTTACTGCATAGATGACGTGTTGGACCAGTTATTGTTTGGAGCCACGCGTGGTAATTGTCCGTACCCAGCAGCGCAGCCCATGCAACCATAATTCACCATGATTGCTCAACGCATGCGATAC